AACGACCGGAGGGTTAGAGTGAGCAGAGGTGGCCTACAGTGAGCAGAGGCACAGCCTTGAGAATGGCGCAGCTGGCGATTTCGATGAAGGAGCGTCCGGAAGGACATGTGACGACTCCGGGCTGGACTCCGCTTCGTCCACGGTGAAAGCCGATCCGGCGATCCACAGCGTGAAGTTGTAGTATTTCCTCAGCGACCAGCATGGATCAGCTCCAGGCATGACGAAGCAGATATCGTCCTGTTTTGGAAGACCAAACAAAGTAGTTTCGCTTTTACAACGAAGCACACAGCGTCTTTACGACATTGCGGCGGAAACAACAAAACTACAGCGAGAATAAAAGTTACGCCGCCTTTCTTTGCGTGAACATTTGGGCGGCATTATGCTAATCTTCCCACAGAGCGACGTAGGTAAGTTGGGGCATGTTAGAACGAGCCGTTTTAGGTAGGTGTGGCTGACTCTTAACTTTTATAAAGAATAGCTCTTTGGATTTGAGACTTTAGTCTTTGCAACTTTACAGATATTCTTTATGCACCAAGAGCTTGTAACACTCCAAAGAGAAAGGAAAAATTTAAATCGCATCATATGACCCCTTTAAACAATGGTCTGATTAACAACAACATCAAGAGGTTTAGCCAAAGTTTTCAGCAAAAGGTGCTTAAGGATACAACAAATCATTGTTCTAGGTTTTTCATATAGCACTTCTGATGATGATGGCTTCATCTTTGCACCTTAAGTCTTAAAAATGTCTCTGTGCAGGGCTGAGGAGAAGGTGACAGTTCACTTTCTGAATCGAGATGGAAAAAGGATTTCGGTGAAAGCTTTAACAGGAGAATCACTACTCGATATTGTTGTTAACAATGATCTAGATATTGATGGATTCGGTAAGTTATTTACAAATATTGTACATGGTGTAAAAATTTAAGTTTTATTTGTACAGACAAATATGCATATCTCATTCACACACAATAAATAGTAAAAACGTGCCGTTTCTTCCTGTGTCACCTAATGTAGTCGGGTTGATTTAGTTTACATTAAATAATATTTTGGGTTTTAATAAATCCACATGAAACACATTTTTACAGTGCATATAGTGTACTGTCTATGAGGACTGCAGGTTGCCTCAAAAATATAGCAAAGGAAAATCATATGTGATTGACATAGAAAGGCAAAAATGATTTGGTCATTGTGAACAGGCCAAAGCTTTACAAGGCTTTGTGTATGTAATCCAAAGGTAATACGAGGTGAACAGTTAGAGAATATTTTCCTATGTATGTCTGCACTATGTTTGTACTTTCTTCTACACTGGAAGCTCCTGTCGTCAAGTCAAATTCCTTGTGTGTGTAAACATACTTGGTAATAAAGCTCTTCTGATTCTGAAATATTTGAATACTTGTCATGTCAATGTAAGTGGAATGTGAGTCTTAGTAGCTTGCAGGCTAATATTTTTGTGTGTCTCTTTTGTGTTGTTGAACTAGGTGCATGTGAGGGAACTTTAGCCTGCTCTACGTGCCACCTTATTTTCGAGGAGGCCGTTTTTAAGAAGCTTGGACCTATTTCTGATGAGGAAATGGACATGCTGGACTTGGCTTATGGGCTTAAAGACACGTGAGTGAACCAAATCACACAACAATAGGAGATCATTTTTATAATTGTCTTCAGAAGCCATGCAGTAGCTTTTTATATTTTTGTACAGACTTCAGTTTAAAGATGAAGAAAGTATCTTTTTTGATGTTGAAATACACTTTCCTAGTCTATATTTTATATCCCTTTCTAGCTTATTTGAACAATGCCTAAAACTTGCTATTACAAGCACTTCATGTGTCTGTTTGCCTCTTTAAGAAGAATCGCTTTATGTATTCCCCAATTGTAAGTCGCTTTGGATAAAAGCGTCTGCAAAATGACTAAATGTAAATTATGCAGAGACAACAGTTAGTAAGCCATTCATAGGTTGATTCCCCTGTAAATATGAACACTGTAGGTCACTATCATTACTCTGTTCGTATGAGCATCCTGACCAGCACATGGTAACATGGGCTCAACCTATAGAGAGAGTTGGGTGCAGAGTTATCTTTGTTTGAAAATTTTACTTTCCTTTGGTTTCAACACTTGACATAGAAATTACAGACTTCATTTTAAAAAGTGTTCATGCAATAAAAAGTGCACGTCTTTTTTAATTTTCTGTTTTGACAATTCATGATTTGGCTGGATTTGAATATTCATGGCAAATCTTCACATTTCTATTTTGCATGTACATCATTTAGATCTCGTCTGGGTTGCCAGGTGTGTTTGAGGAAGGATCTGGATGGGATGATTCTGCGTGTGCCAGACGTGATATCTGATGCTCGAGTTGACAGTGAAAAAGAGTCCTCCACAGCCCCACCCAAAGTATAATCTATAAAATAAAGCCCAGTCGTATATCATCATAACTGCATTATGGAGAAATCTTTAATAGCAGATATTTTAATATGTACTACTTTAATAGAAAACTACATTTGAATTGATAACATGTATTATTTACATGCTGCCGTAAGTAGTTTTTATAATTTTGGTGATTGAAATTTTTTTTTAATTGTGCAGATTCTGCTATTCTTTGTCACAATGAGAGGTGGGAGCATCTTGCTGTTAAACATTTTGAATGCAGAAATAACTAACTGATTTATTGCATTAAATATGATGTTTAACTTTTTAAGTTGCATTGTTTGTTTTGTAAGGATGAAAGACTTTGATCTCCAGAGAAACAGACAATACAAACATACACAGGCATCTTCGAGACACCCCACAGAGTGGAGGTGCAGGAAACGCCTCTCTCACATATGCATCAGTTCCTTCTCATCCCCTTCCTTCCCTTTACTCATCCTCCCTCCACTTGGTTCACTCAGAATGGTCAATAGTATAATGTTCTATATGAATGGAAATAATATTTAAAGTCATGTTTGGTATCATTTGAATAGTCTCAGGGCGAGTGGTACAATGGTCTCAATCTTACAAAAGTAGACTAAAAGATCATACAGATCCTAAAGAGTTAAGAGATATTCTGATTACTGTAGAGGGTCATTCCATGCAATTACCTTCTGTTCCCATTGAGGTGTAAACCACCCAGGTCTGGGACCTGGAGCCGTATGTATAAAGCCGTTCAGAGTAAAATTTTAGTCCTAAGTGTGTCAAAATTCTAAGAATGACGTCATTTTACTCTTATTCCTAGACTTAAGAATAAGAGTGATTCATAAGGGTTCCTAAGTGTTAAGACTAGGTCCCAGCTCCTAAATTATTTAAGAGAGCTGAAGAGGTCTCCTAACCTAGTTAGGAGTAACAAGATGGCAGCACAGAGGAGGAAACAAACACTTTCCAGTGAAGATATGACATATTGGAGTTATATGATGATATGGAGTTGATAAAACAATACAAACTTGATTGTCAAGATCAAATATTTTTTTTTGTAACTGACAAAGTAAGAAATGTAATAACCTCTTCCACTCAACAAGTCAATGCTCTAACTGCAGAAATGTAGTAATTACATTTTTTTGGCTGTAAAATTGGAAAAATGCACAGTAAGCAGGGTATTACATATTGTGGCACTAACCCCACCAAACACAACGGTGGCCAAAAGTGATGTGTGGATTTTTTTTTTTTATGACCCCACATTTCACTTAAACCTCTAAAATACAAAGGGGAAAAAACACTGACCAGTGTTGCCAACTGCTTATAATCGAAATGTAGCTGAAACTGGTCACTTAATGTTGCTAGATGACCTCATAAAGGTGAGTTCACTGATCTGTATTTATATTTATATAGATCAGTGAACTCGCCTTTATGACGTCATGGGTGAGTCTCGGAATGTACATAAGGTTTGTCCAAGAAACTGATTTTGTTGCTAGGCTTTTGAAAAAAAGTCTCTAAAGGGATGAGGAAGTGTAGTGGCAAAAATCACTAAATTGGCAACACTGGCACACTGACTACAAAATAAGTTATGAATATTTCATTGGTCCTCTTGTTTTTGCATGTGTTCATAATTTCTTTGTATGACAGCATGCCAAAAATTATGACTGCGCAATTTGGCATGTTTCATTGCATTATTGTCACAAATAAAACAACTGACTCTAAGCAACTATGCAATATGCTTACAAAATCTTGAACATTCATTTATTTATTTATTTTAATTAAGGGTGAAATTTCCTAGGCCGGACCTCACTTTTGGCCACTACTATATCGCAATTAATTAACTTTCCAACTGACCGCCAAACCATCTTGCAAAAACAAGCCACTTTTATGAGGATTGTGGGCTTTCATGGAGTTGTTGGAACCACTGATTGAACTCATGTTCACATCATTGCTCCAACTGTAAACGAGGAGACATACCAATAGAAAACTAAGCATCAGTAATAATTTGTGATAATTTTGCACAATGCAAAGCATTAAAAAAAATTTTTTAAATATTAAAATATTTAAGTGTCTTAATGAAATGATTTTATTGTAGTTACATTAAATGATTGGTGTTGTGCTGCTGTGACTTTACATGAGCAGGCTCACTATTGGCTGATTCAGAGGTTGAGGTCAGCCATTTTGTGTTGACATCATTGTAGTCCTTAGTTCACAACACTTCAGTGTCACCTCAGTCAACACTTAAAATCAGTCTCAGACTTTACTGAAATCTGCTTTTAGCTTCTTTATAAAAGTCTCCTGCTCTTAGAAAAGTCCTACTTTTTACTAAGAATTTTTTGACACTTGAGTCAAAGCTTAAGACTATTCGTAAGAGCATTTCTGAGAAGTTTTATACATACAAATTATTTTTATTACATTTGATTTATTCGAACTTACTCTGAAATTATTTTCTCAAGTAGATTAAGTGAAGGCGTATGTTTCCCCAAATCTGCGTCCAGGGTTAGTACTAGATCTCCGGTTAGATTGAGCATGGCGCACATCAAGTGAGATTATAGATTTCTGACTAACTGCTTGACTTTAGTTAAGTTGTACTCAGTTGCGTTAACTATGGGGGGGCTAGTCATAGTACTGGTCATAACCGCTGGTTATTGTCTCAGCTTTAATTAAGTTGTATGTAGTTATATTAGCTATCGGGGGCTAGACAAGTACTAGCATAACCGCTGATTATTGTTTGAGGTATATTCAAGTTGTACGTAGTTATTTTAACTATCGGGGGGCTAGATACAAATACTATCGAAATATTAACATATTTCATAGCATAACCGCTGATTATTGTCACAGCATTAGTTAAGTTGTATTTAAGTTGTATGTAGTTATATTAGCTATCAGGGGCTAGACAAATTCTAGCATAACCGCTGATTATTGTTTGAGGTATATTCAAGTTGTACGTAGTTATTTTAACTATCGGGGGGCTAGATACAAATACTATCGAAATATTAACATATTTCATAGCATAACCGCTGATTATTGTCACAGCATTAGTTAAGTTGTACGTAGTTATAACTATGGACTGGCGAGTTTGTGATCGTTCGTGGGGCCCACGTAGAGCGGCCACCATGAGGCACCCTAAGCGACATCTATTCCTAATGAACGAGTAAATATAAAGTAAAGAGTTAACTAGAATAACCAAATGTTAGAATAATAGAAATAATTAGAGACAGACAAACAACCTAAATTCCTTTCAACCTAAATTCGAGGTCATATTAAAATGGAGTCAGATTAGATAATAAAATGGAGTCAGATTTGAATTTAACCTAAATTGAATAACTTTGCGTGCTGAAAAGACCGAACACGCAAGAAACCTTCCTTACAGTTTTTATTTTGTATTTGAAAGCTGGAACATCATCCTCAAGCAAGTACATGTGATTTATTATATTTGAACATGTTTTGCTGCTATGTTAAATAAGCGTTAATGTTGAAAGGAGCACAGTGAAAATGTGAATTATTGAGCCGGAATATGTTTGCAGGAATGAACAATTGTTGAAAAAAAAATTAGGACCACACACAGGTGGGATTACTAGTTTTAATAAGATATATGGTACAAAACATGATGGAAATTTAAATGAAATACTGTAGTACTATATTAAATAGCATTTTTTTTAAAGTGCAATAAAATTATTGTAATTATAAAAAAAATTTTTATTTACTTTCAAACAGTTTTGTATACATTTAATTAAAAGGTTTGGCTACATTTACAAAAAGGCATTGCAATGCTCACAGATCATCTTAAAATTAAATCTTCTTGGACCTCAAAATGGTGGCATTCATCTTACAAAATCAAAATATGAGTAATTACGTTTTAGGATCAACAAGCAAAATGGGTAATAAATCCCTACTGTATGTAATCCTGAAAAGGGGATTTTGTGAATGTGCAAGTATAAGTGTCTGTTTTTGAATGCTTTAAATGCTTCAGTTTGAAAACATTGAAACACATTGAAAACTGAAAGAAAAAAATAATTATTTTTGGGCCGATAGATGATGCCATTGTTCTTCGTCGATGGCTGACAGACATCGCAATGTTGAGCGGGCATCATGATTCCTCCCACTTTTCCTCATCAGAAGTGTCCGCGTGCAGCCCAATTTTTGTGAGTTTACTCAGTGGTTGAGTTTGCTTTGAAAGCTGTGCGGATGCGGTAAATGAAGTATACCTGGGTCTTTAGTGGGTCAGCTGCTGCAGAGCGTGCCAAAATCGAAATTGCTGATGAGATGAAGATTAAAATATCTAGTGGAAAATGAGAATGTTATGTCCCCCTCTAAAAAATGTAATAGTTCTGTAATATGAAGCGTGTAATTGTTAATTATTGCAGATTATTATCATTAATGGGAGTCCCAGTGTTTATGTGCTGTTTTTGAAAAAGACTGTTCCCATTGGCTTCAGACAATCCACTGGCTGCTACTGCAACAACTGAGCCTTTGAGCCTGCTTCTCTCTGAGAGGAGAAGCATCCATAAAGTAGTCCCCGACTATTTTTCCAGAGGAGGGGTGCAAATCAAGAGCTTTAAACCTCAACTGCTCCCCAGAGAGTTTGCTAGACTTCAACCCTGCATTCTGTTCCCTGACTTTGTGCACCGTCAAGTTGCAGCTCTGTCCGTAAAACACACTCTGTGGTAGTTTGACTGCCCAATTTTTGTGAGTTTACTCAGTGGTTGAATTTGCTTTGAAAGCTGTGCGGACGCGGTAAATGAAGTATACCTGGGTCTTTAGTGGGTCAGCTGCTGCAGAGCGTGCCAAAATCGAAATTGCTGATGAGATGAAGATTAAAATATCTAGTGGAAAATGAGAATGTTACGTCCCCCTCTAAAAAATGTAATAGTTCTGTAATATGAAGCGTGTAATTGTTAATTATTGCAGATTATTATCATTAATGGAGTCCCAGTGTTTATGTGCTGTTTTTGAAAAAGACTGTTCCCATTGGCTTCAGACAATCCACTGGCTGCTACTGCAACAACTGAGCCTTGGAGCCTGCTTCTCTCTGAGAGGAGAAGCATCCATAAAGTAGTCCCCGACTATTTTTCCAGAGGAGGGGTGCAAATCAAGAGCTTTAAACCTCAACTGCTCCCCAGAGAGTTTGCTAGACTTCAACCCTGCATTCTGTTCCCTGACTTTGTGCACCGTCAAGTTGCAGCTCTGTCCGTAAAACACACTCTGTGGTAGTTTGACCTCTTCTTCAGTCCTGGTTTGACAGGTGAACCTGACGGTCGCAGAAAGCACATCAAAGTTATCTGTTTTCACGGATATATAACTCATAAAGCTAAAGGAAATTGGCGACTAAATCTAAATCTGCTTAAGGTGTGCAGTACTGTAATATCATAGCCTTGATCCATCATTATCAAGGTTTTATCCTTCTTTACCAACTAGCATTACAAAACCTGATAAACTAATCAGAGTGTTACTGGGACTTTACCTCTGAACTTTCTGTAGCAGGTTTCTCTCCGTCATTTGTCCATTTCTTTCACCATTCTGCTCCACTGCTTGGAGCCATTGCTCATAGAGCTCCTCACACAATAGGCTGCCCGGTATACTGCGTAAGAATTCCTACCAATCAAAAACACAGATAGGTGAACAGAGAGTCGTCATTATAGAATCAGTTGTTTATTCTTGACTAACACTACCGTTCAATAGTTCGGGGTCAAGGTTTTTTTTGTTTTGTGTGACAATGAAGACATTTATAATGTTACAATATATTTCTCTTTCAAATAAATTATGTTCTTTTGAATTTTCTTTTCATCAAAGAAACCCTAAAAAATGATCACAGTTTCCACAAATATTAAACAGCGCAACCTATAATTGATAATAATAATATAATGTTTCATGTTGTGCACCAAATCAGTATCAGAATGATTTCTGAAGGATCATGTGACACTGAAGACTGGCGTAATGGCTGCTGAAGCTTTGCCATCACAGGAATAAAATATATTCAAATATAAAAGTGTTATTTCACAATATTACTGTTTTAACTGTATTTTTTAATCAAATAAATGCATAAGAGACTTCTTTCAAAAACATTACTGTGAAACTTTTACAGACCCCAAACTTTTGAAGAGTTTACATACATAAATATCTACCTTGAACACTGAAGCAGTAACAAGTACAGGTTGTCCACTCAGTGGCTCTTCATAGTGACCAGAATCCAGTTTTTCCCTCAATTCTCGGCAGGCCTTCACTCCAGCAGAGCGCCGGAATATTCCATGTGTCACGGCCCCCTCTCTGCACAAACACTTCAGCATGTCCTTTAAAAAAACAAGTAGTTTTATTGTAATACTATTATTGTAAATGGATGTTATCGTACTTTAACAAAAATTATGATTATTATAACTCTTTCATAAAGGAGTAAGAATGTTTTAAGGTGCTTTTCGACATTTAATAATGCTGAACATTCTGCAAAAAAGTTATACAGCTTTTCATACATATATAACAATCTTAATGTATAATATTATACTGCTTCCATCAATATTTCTCATGTGATGACGTTTGAAAAGTAATACAGTAGGGATTATCTTTTCAATTGCCTAAAATTTGAGGATTTTCAGTACGTACAACAATGGGTGATGGCAGGGTATTGTCTTTTATCACATCACTGAGTGGCCGACCAAACAGATGACCAGAAGCCGGTGTAATGGTTTGATCAGGAGATTCGGACTGAACATCCTGGTCAATGCTGAAGCCTCGTTTAAAAGCCCAGCTAATAAGAGACATCCTCCTCCTGCTTTTCTGTTCTGCCAGAAGAAATGTATGCAAGAGAGGCCAACAAGACAAAAAAAAATTTTAAAAGAGGCAACATTTCAGGACATTGTGTATGTGTGTTAGTTTTTGGGGTGGAGGGATTGGTGAGATTTGAGTGCCTGAAGAAATGGGGTGGGAACCAGGTTGATGTCATGCCAAATCATTTCCATGCAGTATGTATTTGTAGAATATATGGCTTAATATTCAGAACTTATTTTGTGTGTTTTGTCATAGATGTGGGCTTTAATTTAAAAAACAACTGAACAGTCCATATGTGGACTGATGTAGAGTGCAAGAGAAATCATCATAGAAGTTAAAAATATTATTGTTTTCAGTAATATACAGTTATTTCATGCATACTATGCACAGCATACTACAAAAACAGAATGAGTAGCATGGTAGCATTCTGAAAACAAGCATTTCTCACCTGTGAAGGTGCTACTCATTTGACTGGGCCTCAGGAAGAACTGGCAGTGAGTGTCAATAGGCAAAAGCGCTATCTGGCTGTAGGATAATGTCACTGCATCTTGCTGCAGCAGGCGAATGTGGCTCATCTTGATGCTATAAGGAAACTCATGACCTGGTGGAACAAAAGCCCCTTTTAAAAGCTACTGTGCTGGCAAAGTATCAGATACTGTTACCACAGAACTTTAATATATTAATTCACTGCTAAAATGTTTGATTACTTTGATAGCAGGAGAATTACTGATAAACTCTTACCAATTAAAGGGTATGGTGTTTCATCTTGTTTTGAACATACCCACAACTTATAATCTTTTATTCCACCCTGTGTACAAAGAGAAAAGCAATTAATAAGATAATTAAAAATAAATAAATAATAATCATTTTATTTATTTATGTGTTGCTTGTTTGTTTGTTTGTGTAGTAGTTGTGCAGTCTTTACATACCGAAAGACCAAACTGTTGCAGTGCTGTGCCAATGACATCAGAGGTGCAGTCTGTGTTGCTGATAAAAAGAGTCTTTGCCTAGAGAGAAAAAAAGCAAATGCTCATTCATTTACACATCGAAGCTACAGTACATCATTTTATACTCACAAAACATTCAGTTCTCACATAGGCACAGTTCCCAACATCCTTTGCAAATATCTTTAGTGGAATCATCTTCGGATTATCACTCTGTTTTTCTTCTTGTATACAACTAATTAAAAAGAGGGAGAAGAGAAATTTCGATAAGAGGGTTTATTTCTTTATTGTTTCTATTGCTATAGTAAAAGAACTGACCTTTGAATGAGAGACAGCCACCTGTCTTTTTCTTCTGAAATGCTATACGCACACACACACACACACACACACAAACAACAAATTTTAACAGGAGAAATCAATGGATACGTTTAGATTGGCTATATATAATGTGTGTGTGTGGGTACTGGTGTATATGGTTTATGAGGACACAAATGTGTATAATGACATGGGTACTACAACGTAAACATGTTTTATGAGGACACTTCCTGTGTCCCCGTAAAACAAAAGACTTAAAAAATATACAAAACAGTGTTTTATGAAATTCAAAAATTGTCAGTAGTTTCCTGTAAGGGGTAGGTTTAGGTGTAGGGTTGGTGTAGGGCGATAGAAAATACAGTTTGTACAATATAAAAACCATTACGCCTATGGAGAGTCCCCGTAAACCACAAATGCAAGTGTGTGTGTGTGTGTGTGTGTGTGTGTGTGTGTGTGTGTGTGTGTGTGTGTACCTAAAAGTAGCCACACAGTTGTAAGTTGGCCAACCCATGACAAAGCTCCTCTCTGAAGCGGTACTGGCCTCACACACCTCATCCACACAGCTGGCCGTCCACATCTCACTAACACGCACACACTTCTTCTGCTTCACCTGCATTACTGACCTGAAAGAGAAAAAAAACATCCCAAATTATTTCAAGACCAAATTATTAGAACTATATCATCTTACCACTTTAACATTGTATCTCTACATACTACCATTCTGGAATTTGGTGTGATTATGTTTTTTGTTTGTTAGTTTGTTCATTATTTATTTATTATATTTTAACGAACACTTTTATTCAGCAAGGACACATTAAATTGATTAAAAGTGACAGCAAAGACATTTACAACATAATATTTCTATTTCAAATAAAAGTTGTTCTTTTGAACTTTCTTTGCATCAGAAACTGTATCAAAGCTTGCACAAAAATATTTAGCAGCACAACTGTTTTTTTTTAGCATTGATAATAATAAGAAATGTGTCTTGAGCACCAAATCAGTATATTAGAATGATTTCTGAAGGATCATGTGACACTGAAGACTAGAGTAACTGACTGCTGAAAATTCAACTTTGCAATCACAATAATAAAAATATCAAAATAGGAATAAAATATCAAAATAGGAAATAAATTGTAATAATATTTATTTATATGTATAATTTGACTGATCTAATAAATGCAGCCTTGTTGAGCAGAAGATACTTCTTTCAAAAACTTTTTTTTTTTAAATCTTACCAACACCACATTTCTGGATGTTTGTGCATTTCAATATTTGGATGATTTATGTAATTTTAATTCTTCTCAGTAAATTTCCATCTCCATACTTAGCCTTGGTGATAATGAGAAGATCACTGAAGAGGATGAGGAATCTCTCTTGGGTCTGAAGGCCAGTCTGCAGCACCACATTGCCTTGGCAAATGAGCTTCCTTGTTGGGCTGAGCAGAGACTGGATCAGGGCGAAAATGTCCTGGCTAACCTGAGATGCGCAATTCCTAACACAAACATGAGAGAAAAAGAGACATTCATTGAGAGAACAACATTAGAAAACCTATACAAAATCCACAATTTCCCCTGGCCAGGCATATTTCATTTGAAGTTTGCATAAGAAAATACATCCAATTCATCAATCCATTTGTAATTAATCAAAGCTTCTGACTTGAGCGCTCTTTCATGTGCTTCATTGATAAATTACCTCGTGTTACAGCTGAACATCAGACAAAAGGTAGATTTCAGAAAGTACACATACTTTTCAGACAGCCTGTCTAATGGCAGGCAACTTTGTTTCTCTGTGTCACTCTTTCACACACTCACACACGTGCAGATGCTGGTTGTGAGACCACACACATCTCTTCATTCTCTCCTTTCAGTAAAATGCAAATATATTCAGAAGCCTCTTGCATGCACACAAGCATTAACTGTGACATTGTGCCAGAAGTGGGAAACAAACTGCTCATTGAGACTGAAACAGACTGTAAAATAATCAAATGGCCATGCAGTCTGATATTTATGTTTACGGAATGCACCAATACATGTACACATTTTTAGTTTTCAAAGATCATACCTGGCGACAGGTTTCGACTTTGTAAGAGCTTTGCTGAGAATAATAGAAGGTGCGGACTGTCTGCGTTGAGAGAAAGACTTCTAGAGAAAAAATGAGAGAGAGAGAGAGAGTAATGTAATATACTGTAATAAAAGAGATAATCAGCATCACATAATAATAATATATTTGGTTTAACAGCACAGTTATCATTTATCAGTTACGATGATCAATTGTTTATTATATCTGTATATAATTTTGAGAAACAAAAAGCTAATATTGAGTAACCAAAATGTCAAACATATATGTGTTCCTGACATTGTGTTTATTGTAAAACCATTACTCTCCACCTTGTATATATATATATATTATATATATATATATATACAAGGTGGAGTATATATATATATAATAATATAATATATTTAATAATATAATATATTTTCTAAATTGATTCATATACTTTTATTGTTTAAGAATTTTTATTATATGTTTATATATATATGGCTATGGTTGATGACATTCCATTTGTTGTAAAACCTTTCCTCCTTTAAATATATTTTGGTTTTTTTTCTAAATGCATTAATTTACTTTTTATTATTTTTAATACTTATAATGTATTGTTATTATTATTGTTCTTTTTAAAGTTGTATTTTTTTTAATCATTTTGCCTTTATTTTGATAGTTTAAGGAGAGACAGGAAGCATTGAGAGGAGAGCAGGACAGGTAAGGATTCAAACTTCGGGACTAAAACTTGGGTCACCAGAGGCACTGCCGCACTTATACAGTATCTTGGCGCACTGCCCACAAGGCTATGGCTTTGATATTATTTCTATTTTAAAAGATTTATTCTATTAGTCTATTATTATTATTATTATGTTGTCAACTTAATTTATTACGTTTCAGTTGAGTTGGCTACATCTGTTATTTATCACAGTACAGCCGTGTGTATGAATGATTCAACACTCTCTTATATTGATATAGAGTTGTGCTGTCTTTATCTGAGCTATTTTTAGGTGACTTTTTTAATACTGTATTCATTTTATTTACACTTTCTACTCTAGATTATTTTATTTCACTAATCTCCTTTTGCTTTCATCTGAAATCTACTTTTTAATTATTTTAGTGAATTTGTTTTCATAATCTTCATAATGGAGGAGCTTTGAATGCTGAAGCTAAACCCTGGAAAATCATAGCTGTGCACCATACATAGGTCTGTTTTTCTGTTGTACAAATGTGGTCCAACTACGTGATGTTAATAAAGCAAACCAATGCCATTATGCTAAATGGATGGAAGAGTGTGGCATGTTAACTATTGAATGTAAATGATATAGGCTACTTTTATTTAAAGCCTCTCTTATTGCGATATTGGTATAATAATAAAAAAAATTTATTTATGTATTTAGCAGACGCTTAAAGCGACTTGCAGTGCATTCAGGCTATATATTATTTACCAGTATGTGTGTTCCCTAGGAATCGAACCCACATCCTTTTGCGCTGCTAACGCAATGCTCTACCACTAAGCAACAGGAACATAGTATATAGTATAGGTTATTGTGTTGTGTACCAGCAGTGAGCACCTGTTTATATTGCTTTACTTACGTTGGAGTGCTGGTTTTCCACACAACTTTTGATTCGGCTTCTCTTCTGCCATCCTGGCTTGTGTAGTGGTCCCATGGTTAAAATCCAAGTAAAAAGACTGTGGAGGTGATTTAGAGGACTAATCAGATCAATGCTTCCATATCATCATCTGCCTCTGGGTTATCCTCCCTTTGCTGTTCTCCTTCTTTTCTGTTTCAGTGTGGTAGAAATGCAAAATCCAGGGCTGTGTTCAGTAATTCCGTCCTCCTCACAAGCTCCGCACTTTGATTGTCCACACTTTGAACAATGTATTTGTCTTTCCTCTCTGAATGATGGAAGATTATGTCTGTGGCTCAGGGGGAGGATTTAGGAGGAGGGATCTCGGTACATAATGGGATGTAGGTCTGTGTGTACAACAAATGTCTGTAGTTTTGACAGAGGAGAGCATGATTATACCTTGTGAAACAACTTTCTTTAATTAAATCTGTTTGTCTTTGGAAATGAGACATTTTGATGAATATTTCGATTAGAATCTATTCAGTATTTATTTATAATAATTCCTTAGGCCAGTTTATCTTCATACCCTGCCCCCTCCTTACTGGGATGAGTAAATGATCAGACAACTTTAAGCCTCTTTTCTCACCAGATGAAGCCAGTTTGATTGACGGTTGCTCAAACTGTAATCATATTTTCCTCACTGTACTCCATCAGATTGTTCATTTTGTTTACTGATTTTGTCCAGCCACAGCTCATAGCTGCATTCAGTAAATCTGTCTTTTGCACAAATTATTATTTATTATTATTATTTTTCAATTTCAGGATGTGAGGGTGTGATCCCTCACCTACTTGATAAAAGCCCAGACCAAGAAATGTGCACTTCGACCATTTAAAATGTTAGATTATAAGAAATTAATAAATCTTTGAAAATGCCACAGATCTAATTTACAAACAGTTTAAGAAAAAACAATAACATTAACAAGTTAAATCCCTATTCTCTAGTATCATTGTTTTGAACAGTTTCCTTCCTGTTGGTGCCAATCATTTACATTTATCATCAAATCATTCTTTTGAAATCAGCAGACATCCACATGTAACATATTTCAATAATTCCTAGAATGCACAAAGTAAATATGTAATCAGGGAGAAAGAACAAAGAAAAAGAGGGAGTTGTCAGGAATGAATGTGTGCAAAGATAAAGAAGAGATGGGAATGTAGAGAATTTCATATCTGTTCATATCTTTTAGTATAATAAAAGGGTAGGTCTAGGTTAAAAGGTGTTCCCTGTATGTGTCAGGGTATACTGTGACAATTGCATTTTACCACTATAACATTTTCTTTGCAGTATCAGTTTGAGTGTGACTAAGCTGGCACAAATGTAAATCAAGTATGTTATCTTCCAAAAACGAAGAGCACATATCCAGTAACAGCTAAAATAATATTTATGCAGTATATACAGTGCATATATTTATTGTGATTGTTTACACACATACATGCATACAATTAAAAATCTAACGGTACTAGAAATAACATGATGGGATCGCGTGCACTGTATTTATAATTTATGTATTTAGCCTATTTATTTATTGCTTTGCTCTTTTACAGCCAGACACAATTTGCCTGAGGGCCTCTGCTCATTGATATTTTTGTTGTGTAGAAAATGACACACAATGAGCTCTGCAACCTGGATCTTGATACAGCTTATGTAAGTTGTAATGGTGATTGGGGGATGGGGCAGGGATCAGGACCTGTGTGTACTGAGGAAAGTTACTGACCTATATTTCAATGAAACTATTTATCCTCAGTCCCGAAAATACTTCTATAGGGTGTTTGAATTGTGTCAAAGCTCTTGTGTCAAAAGAAGGCAGAAAATAATCTTTTCCAACTAGTTTAAAATGATGTTTACCCTTTATGGGCATTTTTACCTTTGTAAAGCCATTTTTTCTAGAAGTAGGCTATGTCAAATTCATATATTTAATCAATAAAGTCAATTACAATAATAAGACATTTGGGGCTGATACCAAACAAATTCATCTTTGCAATGCAGAGGAAACAGAAGCTGCATCTGAAGGGGCATTTACTGTATGTCTCCCTTATCTGACACCCATTTCAGGTCCTGGAGTTTCTTTTAATGAGCTAATGAGTTGAATCAGGTGTGTTTGATCAGGGAGACACACAAAATGTGCAGCGCTGGGGGCGCCCAGGACCAGGGTTGAGAAACTGCTTTAGATCATCAGATTTCACAGCTTTTGAGTCTGCACAACATTTTACATTATAGTTTTCGCATTTTATGTTCAAGTACTTGGTTTTATGCTACATTTGTGTGTCATAATTGACTTCTTGAAATTTTGGATGTTAACAATCATAGCAGGCTGATCAATTGATGCACTTTTATCTTCAGACCACTACCAGAAGCATCCAGAGAACCTTTTCATAGTTCATCAGCTTAAATCAGTCCTTTAAGTACCTTAAACATGTTACGAATGAAATGTCCATATTCTCTCTGAGGAATATGAATAATGCTAGTCTAATCAACTGCACAGTACAGCTCATCTAAAGGCATCAAGCCCATTTTATCCCTCTAAAATTACCATTTAAAACTATTACCTTGTCATGCATAACTCTGTTAAACACAACATACAAACATTTATTTTTTACAGAAATTACTCTCCAAATAAATATTTGACACATTTACACAAAACAGACATTCCTTCACTCAACTTCATTCAAGTCCATTTGTTTTCCTTTCCTTTAAAATAAAACAATATTTTGGGTCTTTCAAGCCTTAGTGTTCATAATGACATGACCCTGTGCGTCTTTTAACCGTACTCGTCCTGTAGGGTATTGTGTCTCTTGCCGTCCATCTGAGTAAACGGTTTTAACCGTACCATCTGGATATTCCCGTCTTTTGAAATCTGCAGTGTGGATCTCTCGCTGACCTGTGTTAAACTGGATCACCTTACTGCCATCCCTGAAAGTAGAATAAAAATGGTGTGACTTTAATATGTCAGGTGACTTTATTATAACACATTGAGGTGAGGGCTATGAGTTGTACTATGTTCTAGTGTTGTAATCTTTTGTATTTTCTACATTTCTTTGTGGAAAACACACACACACACAAACAAATACACACATAGGCAAAACAATCTTTTCAAACAGAAGCTTGTAACGCACATGACATTAGTCAGCACAATAAAGAAAATATTAAGTCGTGATGACGAGAAAAAAAACTTTCGTTATGTTGAGATCACAAGAAAACCACTTTCGTTATGTCGAGAGAATGAGAAAATTAAGTCGTGATCACGAGAAAACAAGAAAGAAAAATATTAATAATCCATGGCCTCTTAAAACTTCCGTACTTATTCCTAAAATCATTGACATTTTCTCTCCAGTCTTCTGCTGGATACGTCATTCTCAACATGAAAAACATTAATTCATATGTCCGCTAAGGTTTGTACACTTAGGCCCTGTCCATACGAACACGGTTATTTTTAAAACCGCAGCTTTTTCTAAGCGGTTTGGCCATTTGTCCACATGCAAACGCAGCACCAGGTTACTGAAACCGAACATTTTTGAAAACGTCTGCCAGGGTGAAGATTTTCAAAAACTCCGGTTGCAGTGTTAATCATGTAGACTGCGAAACCGGAGTTTTTGGCTTGTGATGTCGGAGCCTGTGCTGTTATCTCCGCCTACTGGAAAATTTTTCAGGCTTCTGATTGGCCAACATGGCTTTATGGTTGAGATTATATCGCCACCTGTTGGTTTGGCATGCTCTTGACAGTGCTTCATAGCATGCGTTTGCGTTTTCATTTGGATGGAGATTTTTTTTAAAAATGGAAGTAGGAAAAACTCCATTTATAAAAATACCCGTGTACGTGTGGACATGGCCTTAGTAACCTCGTGTTCTATAACTGACCTTGCCCATCAGTTTCTGGTCTTCCATCTTGAGCTGCTCTTCCAGGATTTCCTCAAATGTTCTCCCACCAAACCCCGATTTGATAGGTCTAAAACTGACACACTTAACACTTTAACCAGACTGACACACTGCAGTTGTCCATTGCATTGTATTCAATCTTACAGTTTTGAAGTTTACCTGTCTTGTGGCTCTGAGTCACACTCTTTTCTGTACATAGTTTGATCTTCAATTGTGGACTGAATTGATTCTTGATAATCATGATCACTGTCTTCATTTCCAGTGTTCAACTCCACCACACTTTGTTCCTGGTTCCACCCAGTGGTCTCTAGAGCACATATGGGGAAAGACTCTCAAATCTCAACCTGTCTTAATGGTTTTCAACCATATGACATGACGTTTAGCCCACCCAGTCTTATATATATTTAAAGTGTAATTAAATGCTTTAACACCATGTTCTAAATAAAAGCTCTTAGTGTACAGTTGAATGACACATGTATCCTAAATCACATACCTGCAGTATTCTGTGCTTTTCCCACAAGTCTTTGTGGTTCATGTTGTAGTCTAAGCAGCTGTTCCTGCTGGTGCGCTTTTAGCTGCTCTTGCATGCGATGTTGCATTTGCTTCAGCTGGACAAATAAATAAGCCATTAAACCTCTAACAACACTAAACATTTGAATAACTGTTGCTTAAAATTCAACAATAAAGAAACACATTCTTAATAAGAAATCAAAATGTATATAATTGTGAAAAAGAGTAAAATACCATAATGATTTCATAATAAAACATCTCTATATCTGACAGATGAAACTAACCCAAGAAGAAAATAACAAGCAGACAAAAACAAACAAAGTAAGATCATTAAAAAAAAAAAAATCATATTAACCAGGGGGGCACCTGTTCAAGCTTAGCTATTAATGGGAGATCCCGTGTGTTTCTTAAAACATCTTGGATACTTTGCATCTCACGGTTTAAAGATGCATCAAACAGCTCAGTTTCCCTGAGTGTCTTGCCACCTCCACTCGGGCTGCACACGTCCACGCTGGCACAGCTGCTGCTCAGGGAGAGGGGCAGTGGGGCAAACTGACAGCTGAAAGAGTCGTCTGGATCCTGAACCACCAGACTGCCGCTGCTCCGGACGGACCCGGAACCCGCTTCTCCCGGGGACCCGTGTAATATCACCCCAGCGCGGGAGCTGTCCGGCATCCTCTGGGAAAGGAAGTTAAACTGCCCTTGCTGGAGTCCAGCTGGAGATGACATCATGATGTTGACCTGGCTCAAACCCTAAACAGGAAGGTCATATTAACTGCGTTGTGTGGTGTTATTCAGACAGATTACAGTACTTCATTGCTTTGTGTAGAGGGGAGCGAGGTCAACTGTGCCACCTTTTAAATGTCATCTAGGGATTTTGCTGTACACTATTCACATTTTAATATACTATTAAGGAAAAGGTTGAATTTTTAGAATATTTAAACGTACTTAAGATTACCCCACCATATAATGTGCAGTTAAATGGGTGAGGCATCTTACTCCATGAAACTTTCACTTTTAACATCATTTTAATTTTAACATTGACTACAACACATTTGTTAATATACTGGGTAACTTTATATTTAAAGTAAAAGTTTTATGTATAAACAATAAACATACATTAAAGTTGCCATCCAAGTGTAGCACTGAATAACTGGTCCTACAGTCTTGTGCCAGGAGCATCGAGTTGATTCGCGGACATTCAACTGCACTGGACCAATCGTTAGAGATGCGCTGTTACTGCAATAACATTAAAAGCACAAGTAACTTTCCTTTATCCCATTCTGTAATCAAATAAGCGCTCTTTTTCACACTCAAGCAAACAATGTCTGTCTGTCAGTAAGTTACCTCTGAAGCAGCTGCAACTGACATTCATTTAAACCGGTGAATATCATTAAACTGAAATGACACACTGGCTACGTCTATAAATCTAGTAACTTATACTGCCAGTGAAGAGCAAAATCCTGCCTGGGTAACTTGAGCGGCACAGTTTTAACACCTTGAATCTGTCCGGCAAATATTTAACAAGAGTTTAAAAACACAGCAAGATTTTCAAATATAATGCCAGATTTCGGTGCAATCTCATCTTTTATATTCGGAGTTATTTAGATGAAGACCTGTGAATGAATAAGTCATACCTTGGTTTGGGTTGCTGACTCGGGTATTTAAATATTTCAGCAGTTGGCGTCTGAACTTTGATGAGTTTCGAACGACGCCGCCATAACAAAGCATAGCCCGCGAGACTGTGACGAATGAAAACACCGGTGCATGATGGGAGTTGTAGTCAGAAACGTTGTCCTATGCTCCTCCTCTCCGTCGTGTTTGCCAAGGACTTCATTTACGAATCCCACAGGTGTGGTGAAGGCTTTTATATTATTATTAATGAGCTTTGAAATAACAAAGCAAATACAGGATTGATTAATATTCATGAGGCAAACGGAAGAAGATTAATATTTATAAACATCCAATGCCGCATTTAGGCCTACTCAATTCTGTACCAGCGAAACACAACACAAAGTATTAAACTTAGTTATGTGACCTCAGTGAGCAATGATCATCTAACTGGACTTACAATTTTCGCAAGGTGGACGATAAATACATCCATAGAGTTGAAGGATGCATTCAAGCCATAACAACATAGCAACGAGATGCACAGGTGAGAACCACAAGTATTTCTCTCAGAAAATATTAAAAGCGTGTTATATTGTAGGCTATATACAGATTACGTTCATGAAGAATGTTCACTTAGAACCTACAGCAGATTGTATATAGGCTACTAACAAATGCAAATATATCCGTTTCAAACATTAAGTTTGTCTGAATAATCTTCATCTCTGTTTATTTGTTGTAACTGAAACGTTTTCATCGTTGAATCCTAAATGTTCTGTCCAATGTGGTCTTGCTCTGTTTGGCAAGAAAATCAATCACAATCTGTCATTTCCTTTTGTCAATCTTGCCCCCTTGCTTCCAGGAGCGTTGTGGTGTGCCGTAATAGCAGAAACAGTCCTGGTGATGGCGCCAAAATCCTAACCGGAGCAGCATGTCATGCCATTCTGTGTGCACATGCGTGTGAGGGCCACTGGTTATATTCTTGGACTGTCTGACTCTGTAGGTGTCATCAGAGAGCCCCTCCCCCGTCTCTCTCTGTGATGCTGATGCTGAATTGCCCATCACTGAAGGGCAGAGGGTGATATTCCTCCCATAACGTCCACTCTATCCGTCCTCCTTACCTCTGGAGTGAAGGATGGCGATGATCTGGATGCAGACAGAGAAGGCGGTCATGCAAGAGCTACAGCGCAGATTGAGCAATGTCGCTCACAGCATTGGTAAGGACTGTAAATGACTATCTATGCTTGTCACTCAGCACAGGTGCTTGGTTCTGTTTAAATGCATTTTAATGTTGAAAGCTTCAATAATGCTTTCCGGTGGTAAGGATTATACACCTTTTGAATGAGTACAGCATAATCTTATATGTGGCAATAAATTTTGGTCATTTTATGGGCAAAGTATCGGCCAAATCATAGCCAAGCTGATATTTAGAACAATAGCATTTTGCTTGTGTGATATTGTTTTATTTAAATATTGTCACTGTAAAGCCTGATAGTCAGAAAAATATATATTTTTTTATGGAACAGTTTATTGAACCTTTAGATAAAATGTAGAAGAAAATCTAAAAAAGTTTGCATATATGTTTTAGATTTTGTATCATATTTGATACATCAGGCTTTTATGGCCCGTATAGTATGATCTAGTGAGAATATGGATCTCACACTCGAGGAAAAAACGCCTCAGTTTTTTTCAGAGGTCCAAGCTGAGCAAAAATATGCAATTTGGTGATTTTATTTTTATTTGGCCAAAACATAAGATGGCATTCTGATCGTTTGTAATGTGAGATTTTTATAACAGTATAACAGACCTTGAATTCATATGCATATAAATATGAAATATATGCATAATACATATAATGCAATACAACGATGACTGAGAGATTTACAAAAAAGTCAGTAACTGTATATTTGATACATTTTAACAAGATTTTTCTAAAAAAATGATTTATGAATAATCAAATACAGTCGAGTTGCTTTAATCCAGTAAATGTTCTCTTAAAATATTAATAGCAATATAAATATTCTTTTTAATAAAAATAATTAATGATTTCACAGCAAAAATTCAAGTGTGCCACAATCTGAATGTGGACATTTTTACAATTATACTAAAATACCTTTTACTTGCTAAGTATGAATCAAAGTATGAATTATCAATCAGATGACAGAAGGCATGTAGCAGATTGTGTGCAAAAGATTTTTTTAGCAGTTTTAACATGGTGTTAACCTTGAGGCCTTAAAAATGTATTAAATATGATACAGTAGGAATTCCCAAATGAATGTCTCATCCTCTAACAGTGGAATATTACCGTAAAAGAACATGTGAAAGATATTTCTCAGTGACATACAAAACTGCCTTGACTATAATAAGTCTGTGCCTAAACATACTTTTGTACTTGCACTCATTTTCAAAAGCCTGAAGGCTGAAAGAGATTTCCTAAAAACCCTCCAGTGAGATTCATGCTGGGGGTGTCTTGACCAAAGTGTCTGTGTGTTTGGCAGAGTTACTGCTGAGTACAAAAACAGATACCATAAAACACAGTTTTCCACAGGAGCAGCACGGCTTGCTGCAGTAGTTAGTACACTGACTTTAGGTAAGCACGTATGTTGTTTAACTAGCTGTTCTGGATTGGAGTTTAGCAGTTAATGCTGTAGCAATGGCAGTTAATTGTTTGAGTTCAGTAGCATGTAGTATCGTAAAGCGTAGCTAAAGGAACAGTGTGAGGCCAGGTATCAGATGACAATAAATAGGAAAGTTATGCTGAGGAAATCCAGGAAAAGGCGTCCCAAACAAGACAATGATCGTGGACAGCTTCCTCTGGTCCCGCTGGTACAAGGACAGAGTAAGTGAAAGCATGCGAACACTGTCAAAAATTCAGCATTTTATGTTCAAAAGGTCTTTAGATGATTGTACTGTAGAATACTGTTCAAAATATATATATATTTTTTTCATTTTCTTGTGTTCTGAAAACTGGATTTATTAGATCAAAAATACAGTAGAAGCAAATAATATTGTGAAATATTATTACCATTTAAAATAACTGTTTTCTGTTTTAATATATTTTAAAAAGTAATGTATTCCTTAATCATGAACTCCTTTGTACAGTTTGTAAGATGTTGTTCTTGAAGCTCAAGATGCTCTTTGGGTCCTTCTCAAATCATACTGGAGAACGTGATCATGGTTTTACTCAAACCTGTGGAATTCATGTTTTGTTTTGTTTTTTGCCAGTAAATGATTTGTAATAAAAACAACAACAACAAAAAACTCCATTAAATTAGAAAAGCACAAAATAAAATAATTTTCACTATAGTGGACTTTTTTGGTAACACTTTACAAGAAGGTTAACATTAGTTAACTACTTTAGTTAACATGAACTAAGAATGAACAACACTTCTACAGCATTTATTAGTCTTAATGTTAATTTCAACATTTATTAATGGATTAAAATCAAAAGTTGTACTTGTTAACATTAGTTAATGCACTGTGAATTAACATGAACTAATAATGAACAACTGTATTTTCATTAAATAACATTAACAAAGATGAATAAATACTGTAATACATTAACTAAAATTAACTAATGGAACCTTATTGTAAAGTGTTACCGCTTTTTTTCAACTCCACTGAACATACTTTTCAAAAGTTTGGGGTCAGTCATATTTTTCCAGTGAGTACACATGAGTACACAATGAGTACACAAGCACACATTAAATTTAGACATTTATGAAATTACAAAATATTTCTATTTAAAATAAATGCTTTTCTTTTTAAGTTTATATTAATCAAAGAATCCTAAAAAAAAAAAAAAAACTATCCCAGTTTCCACAAAAATATTAACTGCTCAGCATATTAAAATGATTTGTAAAGGATCATGTGACACTGAAGACTGGAGTAAAGGCTGCTGAAAATTCAGCTTTGTTACTTAGTGTCACAAATTTGCTTATTTTCACAGTGACCTATAGAAAGTCCCAAATCTTGAAGAAACTAAAATACCTTTTACTTGCTAAGTATGAATCAAAGTATGAATTATCAATCAGATGACAGAAGGTATGTAGCAGATTGTGTGCAAAATATTTTTTTAGCAGTTTTAACATGGTGTTAACCTTGAGGCCTTAAAAATGTATTAAATATAATACAGTAGGAATTCCCAAATGAATGTCTCATCCTCTAACAGTGGAATATTACCGTAAAAGAACATGTGAAAGATATTTCTCAGTGACATACAAAACTCCCTTGACTATAATAAGTCTGTGCCTAAACATACTTTTGTACTTGCACTCATTTTCAAAAGCCTGAAGGCTGAAAGAGATTTCCTAAAAACCCTCCAGTGAGATTCATGCTGGGGGTGTCTTGACCAAAGTGTCTGTGTGTTTGGCAGAGTTACTGCTGAGTACAAAAACAGATACCATAAAACACAGTTTTCCACAGGAGCAGCACGGCTTGCTGCAGTAGTTAGTACACTGACTTTAGGTAAGCACGTATGTTGTTTTCCATGTTGTTCTGGATTGGAGTTTAGCAGTTAATGCTGTAGCAATGGCAGTTAATTGTTTGAGTTCAGTAGCATGTAGTATCGTAAAGCGTAGCTAAAGGAACAGTGTGAGGCCAGGTATCAGATGACAATAAATAGGAAAGTTATGCTGAGGAAATCCAGGAAAAGGCGTCCCAAACAAGACAATGATCGTGGACAGCTTCCTCTGGTCCCGCTGGTACAAGGACAGAGTAAGTGAAAGCATGCGAACACTGTCAAAAATTCAGCATTTTATGTTCAAAAGGTCTTTAGATGATTGTACTGTAGAATACTGTTCAAAATATATATATATTTTTTTTTTCATTTTCTTGTGTTCTGAAAACTGGATTTATTAGATCAAAAATACAGTAGAAGCAAATAATATTGTGAAATATTATTACCATTTAAAATAACTGTTTTCTGTTTTAATATATTTTAAAAAGTAATGTATTCCTTAATCATGAACTCCTTTGTACAGTTTGTAAGATGTTGTTCTTGAAGCTCAAGATGCTCTTTGGGTCCTTCTCAAATCATACTGGAGAACGTGATCATGGTTTTACTCAAACCTGTGGAATTCATGTTTTGTTTTGTTTTTTGCCAGTAAATGATTTGTAATAAAAACAACAACAACAAAAAACTCCATTAAATTAGAAAAGCACAAAATAAAATAATTTTCACTATAGTGGACTTTTTTGGTAACACTTTACAAGAAGGTTAACATTAGTTAACTACTTTAGTTAACATGAACTAAGAATGAACAACACTTCTACAGCATTTATTAGTCTTAATGTTAATTTCAACATTTATTAATGGATTAAAATCAAAAGTTGTACTTGTTAACATTAGTTAATGCACTGTGAATTAACATGAACTAATAATGAACAACTGTATTTTCATTAAATAACATTAACAAAGATGAATAAATACTGTAATACATTAACTAAAATTAACTAATGGAACCTTATTGTAAAGTGTTACCGCTTTTTTTCAACTCCACTGAACATACTTTTCAAAAGTTTGGGGTCAGTCATATTTTTCCAGTGAGTACACATGAGTACACAATGAGTACACAAGCACACATTAAATTTAGACATTTATGAAATTACAAAATATTTCTATTTAAAATAAATGCTTTTCTTTTTAAGTTTATATTAATCAAAGAATCCTAAAAAAAAAAAAAAAACTATCCCAGTTTCCACAAAAATATTAACTGCTCAGCATATTAAAATGATTTGTAAAGGATCATGTGACACTGAAGACTGGAGTAAAGGCTCCTGAAAATTCAGCTTTGTTACTTAGTGTCACAAATTTGCTTATTTTCACAGTGACCTATAGAAAGTCCCAAATCTTGAAGAAAAATCTTTTCTTATTAATTTTGTAATTTTTTTTCATTTACATTTTTCAATATCCTGAAACATTAAATCATCATTTTAAATCCCAGATTTTCAAAATGGCCCGAGACAATGTGCTTATTGTTTTTGTTTTTTCGTCTGAACTTTAGTTTGACTATTGACTATTACTCCAAAGGAAAAGTGTGTATTTACATTTGTATGTGTGTCTGAAAGAAAGAGAGGGAACTAGAGAGATTTACCAGACTAAAAAGACTGACTCTTCTTTTAAATGTTATCTGTTGGTTTGAATGGATGAGTGACTTGGTCTGAATTCAGCTCTTATCTTTCCCTCCTCAGTAAGATCAGATCGCACTCAGATTCCTCTTATACCAGAGAGAAACCAAAACACACACACACACACAGGGTTTCATTCATCCACCAGTGTGATGGGGGAAGGGGCTCCTGGGGGGCAGCAGACTCTTTTTGGGGTGATTGTGCCGACACAGACAGGCGTAGAGAGAGTGGAAACAAAGGAAGTACAGTTCTTTACAGTCAGTGACCCATCATTGTTATCAGTTATTAAAATGTAGCAGGTGAAGGGAACCTGTGTATGTGCGTCAGGGGACCAGTCCATTCCAGGAAGTCTGTGTGAAGGTTGGAAATGAGGAGAGAGAGAGAGAGAGAAAAAGAGAGAGAGAAACAGGAAGTCATTGAATTGACTTGTGCACCTGTCTCAGGTAGCTCATTCTGAGATCGCTGCTTATGGTTACAAGAGTTAGTAAGATAGTAGAAAACAAGTGGAAGAGGAATCAGAAAAACAGAGGGATGGATGTACAGAACAAAGGGAAAACTATGTGTATTCCTCTAGCAGAGGTTGAGAAATATTACCACTTTTCCAGATGTTGCCACTGGCTCCGAAGTAAGATCTATTTTAATTTTAAATTTTTTAAAAAATACTTTATTAATTATTTAATAATATGATTAACTTTTTTATTTATTATTATTTTTTTTTAAATGTACAATTATTTTAAATAGTTTAATTATATTTAATGGTACTTAATACTCAATTTGCACTATTGTTACTTTACTCCATTCTGCTAAACTAAATACAATAGATTAGAATAGAGGGGTGGAGAGAGAAATGATTCATTACGTAACTGTAATAGTAAAAAAATAAATAAATGAAATGTCGGTGTGTATAAAAGCTGGGCAGCATTAGGAGGTGGGGGAGTGATGCATCACAGGTGAGCGCTACCGTAAAAGCCATTTAAAATGTGACGGATGATGTTCTGTCCAATGTGTGTGAACATCCTAAGGGTGTGAATCTGACTCCAATGGGACGACACGCTCTTATTTTAGAAGAACAAAAGAAGGCATTGGATATATTCTACCTCTTTTCAGGCCTCTTTTGTCATTCACTTTGAAGTACCACTTATAATATCTGATTGGTGTGTTGGTTAAAAAATACAATTCTTAATCTTGCAGTTAAAAAAAGAGGCTATATAATATGATGTATAATAGAAGGGTGGGTATGCATTAGGATTATTAGTTGTCTGCACTTTATAGCTCTGTATCCAGGGGTGGATTTGTTTGAGATAGATAGGAAATCACCTACTCTTTTCTTTCTAAACATGTCTTTTGCTATTGACCGGAGCATGGGAACTGCTTTGGGCAAGATTTTCCTCCCTCAGGTGGTGGTAACATACACCAGCCAAAGACACAATACTCTCAAGACAGCCAGTAATATATTAGTGTGTGTAGGGTCTTCTCACCTGTGGTTAACTTCTTCACCTGTGGTTCATTTCATCTTATGGTGAAGTAACAAAAATAAGTGCTGTTTTTTGGTTTTGTTATTTGATGTTGTGCAAGAAAGACACTGCATGAGATTTGCAGAAAAGTGTTAAGCTTATGAGTTTAATGGGTGATGCATTGCAGGATCATTGTATTACCCAGGTTACACTGAGAACTTGAACACTCTTGTTATATCATCCTATAATGTATAATGTTATTATGACTGTAGACATGATGTTAGTGTGTTTGTTTCAGATGAGATCATGCAGAAGGAGTCTAGTCCTCTCGTCGCTGCTGACATCATCACTGAGCTCAAGAGACAGTTTGCATTCCTATCTGGTAAATATTCTTTACATTATATTTGCATTTCTTTATCCGTAAAACGGAAATATTATCCAGGGACCAACATTATTGTTTCAGAGGGTGTTTTCACACTTGGTCCACTTGGAGGGATGTGAGTTTGACTTTTTAAAGAGGACTCAATAAGAACACTCTGTAAGGACCCAGAGAGGAAAAAAGAGACCTCTTTAGATCTCTGCAATTATATCTCAATTTTGTCTCTTAGAAAGCAGATGGAGACTTTTGCTTATGCTTCTTAATTCTTGGATATATTTCTCCTTTAGAGTTTTGGATCAGATCTCAACAAGGTGCTCACAGTTGCCAACGTACTAAAATCTGCAGTTAAGAGATTTCAATACAAACTAATTTTCTTATCATATTCCTTATAGACTAAATTATAATAGGAGCTATGCCAAGAGGGATTTTACACACACAGCACATTTCTAGTATATTGTACTAAAACTCTTGTCTTTCCTTCATCTCAATGAGAGAAATCAAAATGTTTAATGTAAAATATATTGCACTTTAAAAGAGTTCTTCAATAAGAGCACAAAAAGGTGTGCGTTTTTGTAACATGTAACAAGTTATAAACGCTAGTGCGCATGAACGTGAAAGACTATGTGATTTGTTAGTCAAATTTTACCATCCATAATTTCCTGCTTCTGTCTGAAATAGATGGTTAGATAATTTCTCTGAGCATGTATGAATGTAAAATGCAAGGGAAAGGAAAAAGATGTTCTGGGGTTAGAAACTGTTTGTCACATATGGGCATGTACAAACACTGCAACTTTAAGGTATTTATCTGAATAAGTGTTGTTTTTAATGTTAGGTTGTTCCTGTTAAACTGTAAAGTAAACGATGCATGTACAATCTCTGTCCTGTTGTCATGGAGACAGGGAGAAGAAGGCATGCCAAATTTATATTTTTGTCACATGGGGATCTTTACCCAGTGGCTTTCTCTCTTACTCTCTCCATTCCATCATCACCGTCTTACCACCTAAACATCCCCTTGTATCTTCATCCTGATTTGAAGGAGAGAATAGATAGGAAGAATGGAGTGATATTTTTGAATCTCACTTTATACATTGGTATAATCATAGTTTCTGTCCTGAGGGAATACTGACAACACTAATATGTCTTACCCTCTGCAGCGCCTAGCATTATTATGGTTTTGCACAGCAGGTAGTGATGTGTAGTTAAGGTTTAGGGATGGTACCTTTTTCTGTTCTTGTTTGTACATGTTTTGATAATTGTCAGTGGTGCCACAAGCCTATTTCTTGACACTAGCTGCCAAACTGATGATAAGAACACTTACAAGCTGATCTGAGATTATGTTGGAGTTTGGTTGTCACAGCACTCTCAAACAACTGTTGTTGGGTAGCAGTAGCACACAATATGGAGACTGTGACACAGCATACAGATGGTGAGAGCAGGTTTTCATTGGCTTGCCTGTGTGCTAATTTATGCCAACACAGAAGACAGCATGGTTTCTGGTATTTATTGCCCCCTGCTGTTTGCCTGTTGAATAGATGAGAGGAGTAGGTTTGATTCTTTGATTCTTCATATTTCTGTCTGTCTGTTTTAGGGGGAAGAGGACAGGATGGAAGCCCTATCATTATCTTTCCAGAGTTCCCTTCGTTTTGTGAAATTCAAGACCAAGAGTTTCGTAATGTTCTTACCTACCTGACAAGTATTCCCAGGTAAATACACACATTAGCACACATGTTAGAATGTCATACATGCTGACAGCAGTAACACGTGTGTGTCTTTACCAGTCTGAGTGCAGCGGGTGTGGGCTTCATCGTAGTGATTGACAGGCGTAGAGATCGATGGACGTGTTTAAAGGGAACATTACTGCGTATCTCAGTGAGTCTGACTCCAATATGAACGCACACAAATACTGTTTTTGAAGGCATAGTTCACCCAAAAATAAAAATTTGCTGAAAATGTACTTAGCCTTCATCGGAACAGATTTGGAGAAATTTAGCATTACATCACTTGCTCACCAATGAATCCTCTGCAGTGGATGGGTGCCGCGAGAATGAGAGTCAAAACAGCTGCTAAAAATATAATAATCCACGCAATTAAAGGGTCATGAAACCCCCCGTTTCAGCACTGGTTAGTTCTCACTACAGTTTTAAAAAATGCTAAAAAAAGTGGGCGTGGTGCGCTGCGAGCGGAGGGGGAAGAGGGGAGACAGACAACACACACAGCTTCGGGTTCAGACCGTTTCATTTCGCTCCCATCGAATTAAAAACGCAAATAAATGCACAGCCATTTGCACGCTCCATCGAAAACATATATGCGCTGTTGTACCTCTGGTAACTTTTAAGGCTTATCTGCGGCGTTTATATAATCATTTTGACGGGTTGTGTCACGGTTACACTCACTAAGTGAATGAATCGTGTTTGTGCCGAACTCTTATTACAAAACTAAAACACACTCTCCTCCGATCCATGAACGTTTCTCTCAGTCTGAAACGTCTGTCATAGCAAATCAACACATGCTGTTGTGAATAATTAAGCGAAGCATCTTAGGATAAGAACACGCAGTCTCATGAATAATTTAATAGACACAGACGCATCATCGATGTACTATAGTCCATTGCCACGTCACAAATTGTGATGTCAACACAATGTAGAATTTAAAACCGGAAGATGAAAATGGCGCCAAAAAGCTTAAAATTAACCCGTTTTTTCCAACAGTTAAAATTATCGGATGCTAACATTGTCTTCTATGATGTGCAACACAAACACAAACACGGTTTCATGACCCTTTAAAGCTGCGTGTTTGTAATAAACAAATCTATCTTAAAGACATTTTTAACTTCAAACCATTGTTTCCAACTTGAATACAAGTCCTCTATCCGTAATATTGCTTTCTCCAGTGAAAAAGTCATCTTGTGTGAATCAAGAGAGAAATGTGCTCAGATCAAGCATCCATTTACATCTGAGAACAGAATGTACATTTTCAGCAAACTTTCTTTTTTGGGTAAACTATTCCTTCAATAGTCTTTTTGCGGATACACATCTGGATAGCTTTTGTCTGTAATATATGTTAAAATATGTCTTTAATATATTGAATGTGGAATAATATGAATTTGAGTGCTTTTTTGTGTTTGTGTGTAGGGCTGGTTTCCAGCTAATCTTCGGCTTGTTCTGGTGTTGAGACCCAGTGCTATCCTGCAGCGAACGTTGTCTGAAGTGTTCTTCAAACTCCACAGAGATGACTTTAAAGTACCGGTAAGTAACCTGAATGGGTTTTGTAATGTTAGTGAGTGGCATGTCATTGTAAATAATGAAGCCTGTGTTTGTATTAAAGGTTATGATGCTAAGCTCACTGGCTGATCTGCACTCTTATATTGAGCGGAGTCAGCTGACACAAGAACTGGGTGGCTCTCAATACTACTGCCACGAGACCTGGATCTCTCATCGCACAGTAAGAGCAAATACACACCTGAAAGGTGCACTCACTAGTTTCTTTTGTTTATTTTACATTATGACAGTTGTCCTGGACTTATACTGATGCCTAGTGGATTGAATGCATCATCACATAAAAGCTAATTGTTTTGCATCACCAATTCATATGTAGAAATGCAGAATTTGTCAGTCGTGACTTGTTTATTTTGTAAGTCAAAGTGGCCAATAATCGGGGGGGATAAAGTGAAATAATATTCATTATATTAGTAATATTCAGCATTTCATAGAGGCCACCATGAGACCTGCTTCATATACAGTAAAACATCTTTTATTAGGCTACTTATAAGACTTGATGGCATTTCAGACAGTGTACATGAAACATATTTTAAAAGTTATTCAAATACATTTTATGTGCAATGTTTTAATTAGAGAAAGATTATTAAGTGCACATTCAAAACCTCATTGTATATACGAAACAAAACAAGTTAAACCAATAATATACATCATATGTGAAATGATCATTTCCTAATGATGATAATTTTGCCGGTAGGATCTTGAAAGCTTTGCTGCATTAGTGAAGAGGATGGCTGAGAGACTGCAAGTGTTTGGCAGGGAGTTGGCAGAAACCGAGCTCCCTAGCAACCTCCTAACAGCCAGCAATCTGCTCACTGCACAAACCAGCAGAAAAGACCGTTTCAAAGTATTTATAAAAAAAACTCTTTAAAGCATTAAAGCACTCAATATGTGCCACCTCACACATTCATTTTGGTGCTAACAAAACTATTCTACGTTTCATTGTTTTCTCTTTAGGAAGAGATGGCAGGAGCTCTAAGCCAAGGACGAAAACTCTTGGAGCACATCAGGGAACCGGTCCGCAGAGATCCGGACAGCAGTCTAAACCCTGATCAACTGGAGAACCTTGCTACAGTGCACAGGTAAGTCTGTCAGTCTTTCTTAGTAGGAATCCTCTCAGTTCCCACTTGAAGTTTCTTTGCAGTGTTGCAGAAGTTTCTTCTTCTTGGGAGGATTTGCAGAATGGTTGCAAACATATTGGCTAGGTATTATTACATTGGCAGAGTGGTTAGCCAGTGACGTGGGGGCATTGCCTCCTCACACGTCTTCATGCTTATATCTCACCATTACCTCATGCTTTAGAGATTTGGATAGCACAAATGAATGCTTTTACACTTCAAGGCTGCATTTAATTTAGTATTATGTATATGCTATTGTCGTTTTCATTAATTTTTTTAATTAGCTTTTATTTGTATATTTTATTTCATTTTTAATTTTAGTTTAAGTTTTTGTTTATATACATATATTTCTGTATAGCCTTAATTATTTTTTTATTTCAGTTTTAGTATTAGTTATTTTTGTACTTCAACCTAAACTTATTTCAGTTAGTTGCCAAAGCTACATTACTCATTTTTATTTGTTTTTAATTGAATATTTTCATTTTATTTTATTTTAGCTTTATTTCAAATAAGGTTTTAAAAATTTTAGCTAACAATAACAATTCTGGTAGTTTACACACTATTTAATTTCATTTTATAATATTTGTTTTGTGTAATGTATGTACTCTCAGTTATTTCCTGTTAATTTATATTTCTCTCTTTTGTTCCTTGCTAACTTGCAGGCTGTTATCCCAGTTGAATGAGAGCTCTACAGCGTTTGATGAGTTCTGGATTCAGCATCAAAATAAACTGGATCTATGTTTTAAACTCTGCCAGTTTGAGCACAACTTTCAACAGGTCTTGCATTTTTAAAGACATTCATGCTTATTCTTATTATTGCTAATCATAAGATTCACTAATGATATTTGCACTCTGTTTGCATTTGCTACTGTCTTGTAGTTGCAAACAGAGCTGGAGCAAACAACACCCACAATGAATGCTTTCTCAGACGTTGGAATAAGCCCTGCCCAAACAGAACACCTCCTTCAAGAGCTGACCAATCATGAGAAGAAGGCCTGTGTGAGTCTCCGCCCATTGAATAATCTTAACGTGTTATGCTTACAGTCGCAAACATGCATTCACACACATATATGCATGAATGAGTCAGTCTAATTCATATGAAAGCTTCCAATAACCATTGTACCTCCTCTCTTGTTAACACACTTCTTTCTCTGCAGGAAGTGCTGGACAGAGTGAGGTCTGTGATTGCCGAGGGCCAAAGTTTGATTGACAGCTCTCAGAATGTTGATGACAGTGTTGCAGTAAAATGCAGTGAGCTACAGAGAGTGAGAGAGAATCTCACCCAAAGGCTCAAAGACAAGAGGACCATGCTGACACAGGCTATGGAGCTATATAAAAGATTGGAAATGGTGACTAGAAATACATACACATGTACATTTATATTTATGTTTGATTATATTCATTCCACTAACATATTCATTATTTGCATAGTTACACAGTTACATGTAAATTTTCAGACAGACATAAATACCACTCTTTCATACGTACTGTGTATGCAAATCAGTTTCCAGCACAGTTCCATTCTGTTCTTTTTCTCTTTCAGGTGTGTAAATGGTGTGATGATGGGATTTACATGCTAGCGTCACAGCCTCTTGACAAGTGCCAGTCACAAGAAGGGGCGGAGTCAGCACTGTCAGAGCTGGAGTGTTACCTGGAGACAGCCAATGAGAAACAGCAGTGGGAGATTAGCACAGTTTGGCTGGAATATGAGAACATACTGAACAATGAGCTCAGGGTATGGTAATATGAAATCATAACAATGGCTGCAATTCACTTATAATTCAGATTTGATTCTTTTTTTTTTCAGTTTATTTTTTTAGCACAAAATGAAATGGGGGAAAAATATATTTTGCCAGTTATTTTTATTTATTAAATCAATATATATTTAAAATAAATAAAGACATTTTTAAAAATATGTTTATTATACAGCTTCCCAGAATACTTTATTCTAATTGGTCAATTTCTTTATTTGTGTTTTTAAAAATGTGTAATAGTGTATAATGTATTATATTGTGTTATATTGTATAATGTGTAATGGTACAGGAGAAGGTGAAGTGTGCATTTGAGAAGAAAGCATCATTACAGGAGATGTTTGAGAGGAGGAGGGTTAGTCTGAAGAAACTAGCAGCCAAACAAACACGCCCCATCCAGCCTGTGGCCCCACGACCAGAGTCACTCTCATCTCCTGGTATCTATCTATCTATCTATCTGTCTGTCTGTCTATCTTTTTAAGTGTAAAATGGAGGTGATTGGTTTATTTCTCTCTTTCAGCTCACAGGGAGCATGAGAACATCTGTATTCGTGAAGACTCAGACAGCAGGGTGTCCTGTAAAAAAGTATGTCTAATTCATCTACAATGACTTCAGTGTATGTCCTTTCTTTTTAATCATTTTATATCACTTTCTCTGTATAAGCAAGTTATATATATCTCTCTCTGTTATAGTGAACACTGTGTAAGTTAAGTGACTTGACTATTACTCAGTAATGAATCTCTTTGTGTAGGTAAACTCTGATCAAGTTGACGGGAGCAGTCGCAATCCTTCTGTATCTGAGGAGGAGGAAACCCTGGCTGTGCTGCGCAGGTTAGTCCTGGGTCAAAGCGGAAAGAGGGGAACATATGTGCCTTACTAGACCCCATGTAGTGTAGTCATTAACTGAGCTTCATTGTGTGTGTGTTTGTTCACAGGCATGTAATGAATGAGTTACTGGAAACAGAGAGAGCATATGTGGAAGAGCTTATGTGTGTTTTGCAGGTGAGTGAAAAACTGTCAGTTTTTTCATAAATGAAAATCAGCTTCAATCAAGAAACAACTTAATTTTATTATGTAGGTGGACATACTGTGAAATATGTAGGGCATATCCTACACTTTTGTAGCAGTCTTTGGCCCATAAAGTCCACTTGGATTTGGGAGGTGGATTTGTCTTGTTAATGTTAGAGCAAGTCTACATCAAATTCTTGATTTTAAAAGAGCCATGAAAATCCTGTTTGCCATGAGATGCCTTCATTAAATGTGTTGTGTGCTGTAGGGATATGCTGCTGAGATAGACAACCCCTCCATGACTCCTCTCATCCCTGCTGCCTTGCAGAACAAGAAGGATGTGTTATTTGGGAACATGCAAGAAATTTATAATTTCCACAAAAGGTAAGCACCATCTAGTGGTGTTCAGGTCTGTAGTATAATAACTTTAAAAAACTTTACCAGATCTTAGTACGCCAGATCTTACTTTCCTTTCTGAAATTATTTTGAGAGTAATAAAATAAATCAGATCAAATAAACGATTCAAGATTCATCTGAACCCATGTATCTTCTCAGAATATTCCTCAAAGAGCTGGAAACTTACACTGACTGTCCTGAGCTTGTGGGCCGCTGCTTTCTGGACTGGGTGAGTTTTATATAACTAGCAAGAAAACAAAACCAGAAGTAAACTATCATGAAGAACTTTTGGGAGTTAATTTTTCCACAGTGATCCTCATATCTTTTGGTCATTGTGGTTGTTTAGATGGGGGAGCTGCAGATTTATGAGAAATACTGTCACAACAAGCCTCGTTCTGAGAGCCTCTGGAGGCAGTGCTCAGACTGCGCCTTTTTCCAGGTACACACATACATATCTAACATTATACTACCATAATACTAATACTCTCTTAGCACTATGTAGTGCATATACAGTGCACATTTACAATGTTCTGTATGAATTTAATATTTGAATGACCAGCTAAATTTGCCCAAAGGTTTACTTGTGGAGTACACTGTGTAAAATACTGTATACCACAAAGTAATTTGCTCCGCTTTACCTTCCATTTCCAGGGTGAAAAATAATCCAGAAGTAATGTGATTTTTAACATCTTCTTCTTCACTTATTTGATTGCACTATCAAAAGAGTTTTTTTACAAGATTGTATTAAAAATGCTAAATAAAAATATTAGTGAATACAGTGTTTTCCATGCTTTTGTTATAAATAATATTTAACATGCAATAAATACTGTGCATAACACAGTACATGTTTTTTCAGTTGAAACACACACAGAAACACATATACACTAACCACAATCTGTTGATGACATCAGGCCCTCTCTGTGACAGAATGTAGTTTGAGCAACTTTACCAAATTGTGTTTGTGCCATCAGGAGTGTCAGAAGAAACTAGAGCACAAACTAGGACTGGACTCATACTTACTGAAGCCTGTGCAGAGGATCACTAAATACCAACTCCTGCTGAAGGTACTGCATTATGTGTGTGTATGGAGATCTCATACCTGAAGTGTTTGTTTTAGGCATTTGAATATGGGATAAATGTTGAAATGCATCTTAAATTCAGCATGAATTGAAAATGTCCTCTATTTTCTAAATGCATGTTGTTGATCTTATTGTGAATGATTTGTCCATGTATAAATTTCATTTTTAAAAATTAGTTTTAAATCTTCTGATGAAAACAGAGTCTTCTCTATGGTGACGCATCTCCAAACATTTATCCTTCTTAAACCTCCCCCTCTTTCGTTCAATCGACTGCAAACTCTCATTCATATCTTTCTTCATCCAGTCAAAAATCAATGGATAGAACCAAGTCCCTGACCTAATTTTTTTTCTATTTCAATAATCTGTTTCACTCAGATGTACGTCACAACATAGAAGAAAAGATCTGTCATTACCTCCATTTCATTGTGACTTTAAAGGTGTCATATAATGGATAACAAGATTTTTCAATGCATGTGTTTGTGTGTTTTAGGAGATGATTAAGTACAGTAAAGGCTGTGAGGGCTCAGTGGAGCTGCAGGCAGCTCTTTCCTCCATACTGGGTATCCTGAAGGCTGTAAATGACTCAATGCACCTCATCGCCATCACAGGATATGAGGTAAAACACATATGCACACACTACTCTCATCTTACCCATTACTGTTCATTAATGTTTTCTGTCACTCCTCTTTATTCCACGTCAATCCAAGCAATGATCATTGATTCCATCCAGGGTAACCTTGGATTCCTGGGTCGCCTGCTGATGCAAGGGTCATTCAGTGTGTGGGCGGAGCATAAGAGAGGTCACGTGAAGGTCATGGAGCTTGCCAGGTTTAAGCCCATGCAGAGACACCTCTTCCTGCACGAGAAAGGTCTGCTCTTCTGCAAGAGGCGAGAGGAGAGCGGAGAGGGATACGAGAAAGCGCCCTCATATAGCTTCAAGCAGGAGCTCAGCGTAAGTGTGTCTTCAACATACAGTGTAATAATAGCTACAAATTTCACAAAATGATGTTGAGCTCATATTGATAAATCACCTCTTTTCTGTTATGTTCTGTTAAGCATGGCATTCTTCCCATGCTGAGGAAAATATAGTCAAATTTGCACTAGTTAGCATCTTCAAAAGGTTGGCAAATGTGACATTTCATATTTTTTTATGGGTCATTAGCATTTTATTCCACATTTAATTTTTTTAAATATTTTTATTAATCAAGAAGCACATTTTATAACATGCACAAACTTAAATGTTTAAATTAAAATAATGTGGAATCTATAATTAAAATTTGTGCATGTCTAATTTGCATATTTAAATGAGTATGGTCACAAAAAAGAGCATTTTGAGTGTTCATTCTGCTAAATTTTATTTTGAAAGGAAACAATAGCCTGTTTACCTGATAATCTCTGTTCTGTCTTTGTTAGATGGCTGCTATTGGAATAACAGAGCATGCTAAAGGGGACAGCAAGAAGTTTGAGATCTGGTCCAGATCAAGGGATGAGGTCTACACAGTACAGGTGAGCACAACAGTGTGTGTCTTGAGTTCAAATTTCTATTAAGAAGACTGTTACATGTGTTAAGTCTGCACTGACCAGATATCTTGGGTTTATATGCGACTTTGTGATATATATTGTCATGTAGGCCGTGTCTGAGGAGGTTAAGACCATCTGGGTAACAGAAATCCAGAAACTTCTAACAGGACAGCTGGAGGCCTGTAGAGGTATGGACCTGGTTTTACGTTGGTTTGTAAATACAGTGGGGCAAAAAAGTATTTAGTCAGCCACCAATTGTGCAAGTTCTCCCACTTAAAAAGATGATAAACCATTAACTTTGAAGTTTTGCATACTCTTAAAAATAAAGGTTCCTGGTAGAACCAAAGAGGTTTAGAATACACGAAGAAAGCTGTCCATTAGTATTCACTTTCATCTCAATGGCAAAATGCAGTTTTTTTTTTGTCGGAACATGCAGCTAATTTTAAATGGCTGTTAAGAAAAATGCTTTTTAGAACCAAACATTTACCAGCAGGGGTCATACTAACCATCCAAAAACAAAACGTTAGTGCCAAAAAGGATTTTACAGGACCTTTTTATCCTTTTAAATCTAGAAGAAACTATCTTATACCAACTGACAACCCTATAATGTAATTTCAAGAGCTTTTTGACTCTCCAAAGAACTGTATAGAGTGGGAAATTACTGTTGTTTAGAGAGTTCTTTGCAAGAAGCTTTATTTTTAAGAGTGTGGTCTTAGAATATATTTAGTTAGTGGTCCTAAAATATATTTTTATTCCTAATTTATTTTTTTTCTGTGTTTTTTGTTCTGTCACTGTCATTCTGTTACACTGTGGAAGCTTCTGTCACGAAAACAAATTCCTCGTATGTGTAAACATACCTGGCAATAAAGCTCATTCTGATTCTGATTCATTCCGAATGCACCAAAATAATGCATTTCACAGAGACACTGACACCCGAACCAACTCTTTACTCACTGTCTCGTAGTATGCTGTGATACATGTTTCATATCCCTTAAAACTAAGTAGTTATCTCTGTCACAGTATTATGTCCATACTGGGATATGGCATGTCTGTTGTCAAGTCCTGTGATCTCCAATGTGAAAGCATGTGACATTGTGTACTGTACAATGCTGGAAACTAGGACAGATGTGTAAAACAAGCATATCATATATGCAGATGTTGTTTCTCAAAGTGACTGTGATCACCCTGTGCCATTTGTATGTAAAATGTTTACAAATCAATATTGTTTTATATATATGTGCATTTAAAAATAAAGCCATAGTTGACTGACGACTTTTGCCAATTTTAATATATAAAACTTAACAGGTCAAATATACAGAATGACATTTACAACTATTTGAATATCAGATAAGGCTTTAAGTACGAGTTAATGTAATGTTGTTAAAGTTACAGTTGAATTACGACTTGCTTTTAGGTGGTACCTGTTACTTTTCTCAGCGCCGGTCAGGATGGACCAATCACAGTCGTTTGTGATTACAGGATAAGGATTTGGCTTTTATATAAATTGATTTAGTTTGAAGTTTGGTTGAGTTTAAATATCTATTTGATTGAATGTACTGCCTTAGATAATCGAGATATCTGTCTGGAGTTCGAGTAGTTAACAAGAGTGTTTTTATGCATGCAAGATGAAGATCAACATGACCCGCCTTCTACGCAATGAAAAGAAAACGAAACTTAATGCCACTGAAAGAAACATTGCATTGAACACGTGAATCGCCTTTGAGTGTCAACAAGCAGAGTTCAACATGGGTCCGGAACAATTTCAATCTCTGAATAAAATTATTTGTGTACTTTGCGAGAAATCAGACGAATCTGAAACCACCGGGCCTCTTTCATCCAAAGAGAGCACCTCCGCACATGAGAACTGTTTGGTAAGCGAGTTTTCATATTGCACCCATTACGGAAATGTAGTATCATTAGTCTTATAATATAAACGTGTAATGCACTTTATCCTCAGTTGTTTGCATCAGGGATCTACAGCAAGAATTCACCCACCTATGACGACCTGTTTGGATTTGCTGTGGAAGATGTCAAAGAAGAGCAGCGGAGAGGAAAAAGACTAGTGAATATCATTGCTACAGCATATGCACAACACACATTAACTGCCTCTAAAACGTTATAATTCATTTTAACTGGTTATTTTTTTCTCAAAACTTTGTGTAATGCTTTACATAACACAGTGTCCATATACAATACTTTAATGATGATCTACAATAGATGTTAACAAAGTGTTATGTAGCCTAATGTAAAATAATTGAAATATTAGGGGTATTTAATGTGTAATATTCTGAAAGTATAAATTCTGTACAGGACATGTACAGTTGCAATCATAATTATTCAACCTCCTTGACCTGCAAGACTTTTTGCTGCCAAGAACAACATTTTATGAAAGCAATTCAACAAAGGCATCAGTAAACTATTATAGAAAGTTTATTCAAACACATTTGAGTGATTCTGAGAACATAAAGTTGATGGAAATTGAAAACAAAATCTAATTGGCTCTAAACATTCGTGTACAAAATTATTCAATCCCCAAAAGCCACATTTTGTGCAGAATCTTTTATTCTTTATTACCTCCAATAAGAATGGCCCATTCTTCGCTTGAAAAAGCTTCCAGATCACTGATAATCTTTGGTTTTTACATTGCCACTGCTTTTGTCAAATTCCACCAAATATTTTCAATGAGATTTAAATCTGAAGACTGAACAGTCCACTCAAGAACATTCTATGACTGATCCCTGAACCAAGCTTAAGCAGATGTGGATGTATAATTTGGGATGATTGTCCTGCAGGAAAGTCCATTGATGCTCTTTCTGCTCCTAAGCTTTACCTTATTTGCACCAGACGTACCGCTGATGCATG